GTACTCCACGGTAGACATCAGCAGGCAGCAAAGAATGAAGTTTTTTTTTTTTTTTTTTTTTTGCGGGTAAGCAAAGAATGAAGCTACTACTGAAAACAGGCTACATACAGATGGACAGGGTGCCCGAACGGCCTCCTATGCAACGTAAATACTGTACGTATATACACGCCTCGTGCTAAATTCGAATACGCGTGTGCTACGCTTCCTCCGTACGTATGTGAAACCTGCGACGAGGATGTCATGCATGCAAGCATGCGGTCCACAGCGGCCGGCCGGCCCACTGGCGGTCTCCGTCCCGCCGTGCTTTGAACGCCCAGGTTGGCAGGTTGGATGCAACGGAGGCTTGGGAAGTTGAAAGTCTTCTGCAAGCCAGAGCGCAGAGCGGCGCGGACGTCAGATGTTCAGCGGTTTCAGGCACCTGGGGGGAAACGCGGAGACCCTGTCGCAAGCAGCCAACGATCCGCCGAGCGCGCTGCGCCATCGATCGCTGCGTCCCTGCATGACGCTACAAAATTTGGTTCAGAGACACGCTGTCCCGTGCCGTGAGCCCACGGAAGACGGAACTGGCGATCGTACGCGCTCGCCGAGCCGGCAAGGCCCCGTTTATAGAAAGGAAAATGCAATCGATTGATGCGAGAACCAGAAAGGACGACGCGCCGTCGTTTCCATTCCATTCAAAAATGGTGTGTTCCTCGTTCGTTCGGGGGACATGCTGCATCAAATCATCAGACCTAGTAGCTGTTTTGTCGGCTCATATTGACAAGCATGGTCATGTACCATGATGTATATTACCCCTTTTTTTTAAAAAAAAAACTAGCAGAAAAATGGGTATTAGTAGCAGGCTTCGAAAGCGGTTGTGACCAACCAGAATGAAGTCGTCCGAAATACCCACATCTAAGGCAGTTATTTTTGTCATAGTAAGCTCGAGAGGTACCGTCCGCCGGAGAGATGGGAGAAACCGCCTAGGGGTGGGCGAAGCTCAACATGGATGGAGCGTAGAGGGAAGCCGACAACTCAGGTGGTGTTGATGATCTTAAGGAACCACGTTAGTGAGATCATCTTCTCGTCATGTTGGTGCCTTACCACATGTGCGAATGCCCTGGAGGTGGAACTCGCTGCTTGCACGGAGCGAGTGGCGCTGGCCCTCGAATGTGTAGGATTTCGCAATAGAATGGACCTCGCTACCTATCAGAGTTGAGACGGACTGCTTGGTCGTTGCTGATATGATCAATGATACGAAGCCAAATAGATCCTCTGTAGCCTCTTTTGCAGGAGAGATAAAAGGTTTGATGCGGCAATGCCAAGAGCGTTTGATTTCGATTGTTCATAGGGACCAAAATAAGGTGAGCCATACTCTTTGCCCAGATGGGGCGAGCTCTCCCTTGCACCACTGTTTTGAGGCCCAGATGAGATCGGCATCCTATCTCAGCAGGATTGTAATCACCAAGCTTGGTTAATGCAATCCTTTTCATTCGCAAAAAAGAGAGTGAAGTGCATCCTGGGTCCTCGAACTATTTTAGAGGTGTTAACTAGGTCCTCAAACTAAGAAAGTCGCCATCCAAATCTTTGAAGTGCAATATGTGTGTCATCCCGGTCCTTGAACTATTTAAGATGTGTCACATAGGTCCTCAAACTATTTTAGAGGTGTCACATACGTACACATTTATTGCACTTCGAGGACCTGGATGGCACTTTTCGTAGTTTGAGGACGTACATGACACCCTTGAAATAGTTCGAGGATCTAGGATGCACTTCACTAAAAAAATTCTCCAAAGGCGGTTTGTAAGACAAAAACGCTTGCAACGATTGGAGGCACTTAGCTCCTTGAAGCCGCCTCTAGGTTCGGAGCAAGTGCACGCGGTTTCTCCATACCAGAACTGCATGCGGTTGGTGTGTACCTATGGGCGCATCCTTTCCCTTCTATTTGTCTAAGGGTTTTTAGGCACCACCCCTTCAATTTTCTTTCATCTCATTTCATATTCCCCTTCCCTAGTCCACGGCCAAACCCTAACACCACCAACACAACATCAACTCGACAAGTGGGGATGGCACATAGGTGAGCTGGCCCGTCCGCACATCTGCGGCGGCGTGGTGGCAGATCCAGATTGGTCGTGTCGTCGACCCATGCGTCTTGGGAGGGCGTGGCAGCCCCTCGGAGGGCAATGTCGCTTCCGTCGACCTCCGCTGAGGCTTCCCAGGGTGCACTCCATCTCCGGCACGATGAGCTCCCAAGTGTTACCAGCCTTGCGCCGATGGATTTTTGTAGGGGTAGTTACTGTACGTTTATGGATTTTTTTTGTAGGGTTAGTTGTTGTATGCATATAGATTTTGTTTGTGGGGAAAGTGTT